GGGTACCACTTGTCCTACGGCAAACTTTCTGTAGAAGTCCACTTAGCAAATACTCTGGGCAAGTCAGATACAGGTCTGTGTCACATATCCTTTTTTTTTCTTTTTGCTATGCTGGGATTGAACCCAGGGATTCATGCATATATATAGAAATTTGGAACAACCATTTAAAAGGGTAAAAAGCATTCTTAGCTTGAGTTGTACAAAACAGCAAGACCTACACTTGGGAACTCTTGCAGGTGACAAAGGAACCTGATTAAGCATCTTTACAGCAATAGTGAGGTGAGAGGGAGAAACTGGAAATAGCTTAAGTGCACATCAGAAAGACAGAGGGCAGTGAAACCTGTGCACACCCATGTCTGCAGAGCCGGGCAGCACTCAGAAACAGTGAGGTTAGCCAGCGTGGTGGCGCACATCTGTAATCCCAGCACTATGGAAGGATCACAAATTTGAGCCTAGCCTAGAGAATTTAGCAACTTAGACTCTGTCTCAAAATAAAAAATAAAAGGCAAGGGAGGTAGCTCAGTGTAAAGGGCCTGGCTTCAGTCCCTAGTATAGAGAGAGAGGGAAAGAGTGGGCAGAGGGAGAGAGAGATTGATTGTGAATGACGGCTGGGGATTTAGCTCAGTGGTTTCGCCGCCTGCTGCGCAAGTGCAAGGATCTGAGTTCGATCCCCAGTACCAAAAAAAATAAAAATAAAATATATCTTAGTACGATTGTGAATGACATGGGTGAAGTTTTATTTTGTTGAGGCAGGGTATTGCTCTGTAGTTCAGGCTGGCCTTGAATTCACTACGTAGCCCAGTATGGCCTTGACTTTACTGAGATCTGAGGGAAACCAGGGGTAAAGACCAAGGCCTAGGTCCTTGGGACTCAGCGGTAAAGATAGAAAGCTGTCCCCTTGGGCTGCTCTTTAGCACACTGGCATCAACCAGTTCCAGGGAGAGAAACAACTGCAGCTGAAGTCTAATTAAAGAAAATATAGATTTGGGTGCAATCTGTAAATTATGAGAGCCTGATGAAATTTCCCTGAACCCTGGATCACATGCTTGCTTGCTTCTTCTTTGTGTGAGTCCAATAAAAGTGAGGAGCACAGTCAGTCCAGGGCTGTTCGTTCACTGGAGCAGAGTCCCCTGGCCATCCTTTTCTAAATCATTATGTGTCTTTGTGGTTTAAGCCTGTGTCACGCCCCGGGTTAGGACAAACTTGTAGGCTGGCCTCCTACAATGATCCACCTGCCTCAGCCTCTCCAATGCTGCAGTTACAGTCGTGTGCCACCGCCCCTGGTGGTAAAGTTTTTAGTGTATTTTGAGTGAAGAGAGCAAGCTGCCAAATGGTATGTCGGGCATGGAGGAATCAAGGAGCAGCAAGACACAATGCATGTGTGCACACACAGAGTCTGGCAAAGCCACTCCAAACTCACTGCCGTGGTTACCAATGGCATGGGGAGGGACTGTGGGAAATGTGGTCACAGAGAATCCAAACCTCATAAGGAAAACGCCCAACTCCTTGCTGCTCTTAGACCCTTGCACCGGCTATTCCTTCTGCCCTAGATGGTCTTCTCCCCAGGGTATTTACAGGGCTGGCTCCTCTCTGGTCAGGTCATCGCTCAATTATCCCCTCCACAGAGACCTTGCCTGGTCAAACGGTCACCCCTGCTGGACGAATCAGTGGAAGGATGGGAGGATGGAAAAAACTATCCATTGGACCCCATCTTGTACCCTTTGAATTTAAAAATGAGTGAATTAATTACCCATTCAAAAACTAAATGAATTAATTTAAAAATTAAAACAGCAACAAAGCATTTCCCTGGTCATCTTCTGATTTTGTTCTTTGGTGAATTTTCCTGAATGGTCCAGGATATACGGCGCCAACTGGTGATTTTCCTGCCTCAGCCTCCCATGTAGCTGTGACTGTGGACATACAGCACTGCAACTGGCTGGCTTCTTCTTCTCCTCCTCTTCCTCCTCCTCCTCCTCCTCCTTCTTCTTTTTCTTCTTCTTGATTTTGTTTTGTCTTTGGAGGCAAGGTCTGACTATGTAGCCCAACCTAGCCTCAGACTCACAGTGATCCTCTTCCCTCAGGTGCCCAAGTGCTGAGATGCTTATTATGGCTTGAGATGATCTCAGGGAATTGGCAGTCTCATACCTCACGCCTGTGAATGGGGCCCGACATACATCAGGCTCCCCTACATATTTGCTGACTGGGAAAATAACTTTTTAAAATAAGAAAATATATTTGAAATTACTTAAATAATTAAAATCTTTTAGGGAGGTTTGAGACAGGGTCTTGCCATGTAGTTCAGGGTGGACTTGAACTCACTGTGGAGCCCAAGCTGGCCTTGAACTCATGGTTATCCTTCTGCCTCAGTCTCCTGAGTACTAGGATTACAAGTATGCACCAACACACCTGGCTAAACAATTAAAATCTAATAATCAAAACTCTTCCTTACAGCTGTTAGAAAAACAGATGAAAACTAGGAAGGAAAGTGAAAGTGGTTGAACTGGATGATCTTTTAAGATCTGTTCAGTTCAAAATTTTCAAAACAATTTTGGTTTAGGGATTTTTGTTTTGTTTTTGTTTTGGGGGTGGATGGTGGTGGAATTTCCCCTCTCACAGGACTTTTCTGTGAGGAAGAAGTAGGAAAAAGGGAAACAAGCTTTCTGGGGTTCTGGCATCCACTGTCTTCCACTGGGAAGGAGACAGTTTTCTTCTTTTGTTCTGTTGGCCTCAGCTGAGCAGAAGGTGCACGACCCCCCAAAATAGAAGCTGTCAGGCTTCCAAGTGCAAAGCAGAGTTGAAATGGCAGCTGGGGGCTTCCCGGCCCCAAACTGCACTTTCTGGAAAACAGGAGAAGGACAGGGTAAAGAGAATCCCTTCTTTAAAAAATGGAAACAAAGCTTTTGTACATAGGGAAAGAAATGCCCCTGAAGAAGGGAAAGGGATAAACTAAGATAAAAGTTATTCAAAAAAAGAGAGAGAATCCCTTCTTGGCCTCCACAAATACTCTCTTGCCTTCTGTAATAATGGCTCCTGTTTTCCTTTCAGAGTACAATGCCCTACACGTGATTTTTTAATCTATCAGGTTTGGGTGGAGTGCACCTCAATGCCAGGTGGACATGTGACTCCAGTCTGGCCAATCAGAAATTCTGCAGGTCAGGCACATGATCCTAGTGTGGCCAAAGGAAGCCAGCTCTGGCCCCAGCTGCAATTACTAGGAAATTGGCAAGCTCTCTCCACGGGGGACAGTAGGCCCAGGGACCTCAACCTGGAACTGCAATTCCTGATGCCTCACAAGGAGACCTGCATGGAAATGAAGCCAATTCTGAGAGAGTAAAACCAAGACATGGTTCCTATGACATCATGTGACAAACAGAGGCAGCACTGCCTTAAGTCCCTGAAGTCTTCAGTTGAGTGGCCCACTAAATTCCCTGCTTTGATTTCCCAGATTTCTCTCACTCACAGTTCAGTGAGTTCTGGCCAATCTCTGCTGCTGCTGCTGCTGCTGCTGCTGAGAAAATATCAACAACCCTTCTTCAGTCACATGACTATAAGCAAGCATCCTTCTCAGCCCAGCAACAGCCCTGGGCTCTGGCCTCAGTTTCCTCCCTCATACTTCTTTCCTCCCTGCCCTCCACCCTGTGCCTTCTGTCCACGTTCCTACCTCTGCAACTCCTCAGCTATCTAGGCCCCATTACAGCCTCTCTCTTCAGTCCCAGCCTGGGGAATCCACAGAGATATCCTGGAGGCGTCTGCTGGGCAGTCAGGCCTTGGAAAGAGTCCTTAACTTTCCCAGAAGTTTTGTGTTTGGGATGGTGCTTGGGAAGATGGGGCTCTCTGGAGCACAGCAGAGGCCACATTTCTCAGAGGCAAAGCACAGCTCTTCTGTGCATGTGTATCCCTCCCTGACCCCATCATGCCTCACACAGCACGACAGGGCACAGGATCTACTAAGAGGTCGGGCAAGTTCCTTGTCCCCTCATGGGCTGCTTCTTCCCTTTCACTAAGAGAGGTGAAGAGGTGCTGGATTACATGCCCCTTTCAAGAACACAGGTTAAACCAGTCCTGGTGGTGTATGCCTGTGATCCCAGCACTCAGGAGGCTGAGGCAGGAGGTTCTGGGTTGAGGCCACTCTGGGCTATACAGGGAGTTCAGGGCCAGGGTGGAATACTTAGCAAAAAGAAAGAAAAATGCAGGTCATAGACGGCAGATGTATCTCAGTGGTAGAGCACTTGCCTGAGATGTGCAAGGCTCCAGGTTCAATCACCAGTGCTGCAAAACAAAACAAATCAAAACAAAGCAACAACAGAGGGTCCTTACCTCCCAACACTCTTCTGAGGCCTGGTGGAGTGGAGAATAAGCTTCAGCGATGACAGTAGCCCTGGGGAGCAGAGCAAGGCCCTCAGGAGGAGACCCTCCTCCTGCCGCTCCACCCCCAAACCCCCAGCCAGCTCACTTGCAGTGCAGGCCTCCCCCAGGAGGCAAATCCAGCGTGTCCTCAGAGGCTAGAGTCCTGAAGATGGTGTTCAGGCTGAGGGGCTCCCGAGCAGAGGCACACAGCTCTGAGAAGGGGGTCAGAGTTGTGGGGGAGCCCCTGTTGGCATCGCCCCTCCCCCTGGGCTCTGGGCCCCTGCTCACCAGCAACTCTGGCGCATCCAGCGCCAGCTCCCTCTGGATCGCCTCCTCACACGGCCCGGGGGCCCCTGGGAAGCAGACCACCATGCAGGTCATGCTGTCCAGTCTGCCCTGGGTAAAGTGGACAAAGGGGAGCGTGGTGGGAGAGGGCGGAGGCTCTAGCACAGGGTTCCATGCCTTTGGAAGGATAGGTTCCCCACGACCCTGGTGCCCACGGCCCCTCTCCAGGCTGGTTGTGCCCATCTCTCCCAAGTCTCGCCCATCTGCCAGTCTGAACCAAGCCATCAGCCAGGTGCGGTGGCACGTGTCTGCAGACCTGGCACTCTGGGGGGATGGCAAGCTCAAAGCAGCCCGAGCAGCTTCGCGATTTAAGGACGCCCTGTGCCCAGATCAACAACAAGAACAGGAAGAGGGAAGTGACCCGTTGGGGATGTAGCTCATTACAAGACCCTGAGACCAGTCCCGAGGGTAGAAAGCAAAGACACCAAACTCTGTCCCACTTGGAGCAATCTGCTAGGCCACACCCTCTCCCTGTCCTAGCCCCGCCTTGTTAAGTGACGGGCACATTGTATCTGACCTGCCTACTCTGTTGTCCAGGGGCTCTTGCATCTTCTGGTGCTTCTTACTACCTCAGCCCCAGTCTCTAGGTTCCAGCACCGCCCCCATGCCCAAGACCACGCCCCTTCGCTTCAGTCCCTCCCACCCGCCTGTTTAGCACCATTTTCCCAGCGGGCCCTCAGCCTGCTTCAGGCTCCGCCCTCACCGCCCCCATGCCCCGCCCAATCCCGAAAGCCACGCCCCCGGCTTGAGCCTCCGCCCTGTCCCTTTCTGTCCCAGTCCCTCCTCCCCCAGACTCGGAATTCTTCCCCTCTACTGCTCCAAGCTTCAAGGGTCCCACACCCGGCCCCAGGACCTTGCACAGACACGTGTGCAACAGCTGCGCGCAGAGAAGCTGCGGGGCCAGGCCCAGACCGAGGCGCGAGGCCACCAGTGGCGCCAGGGCAGCTGCAGACATCGCGTCCCACACGCCGTCCGAGGCCAGGAGCACGAACTGGTCCTCAGCCCGGCGAGCCAGAGCAGCCACCTCGGGCTGGGCGGAAACCAGCTGCAGCTCGGGGGGCCTCCGCGGAGCCTGCTTGTAGGCAAAGTCGCCTAGCGCTCGCGACACGGCCAGAGAGCCTAGGACGCGCCGGCGGCGGAGGGTGCCGCCCGCGTTCCCGCGGCCGGACGGCCGGTGGTCCTCCGGGCTGAAGGCCACGGCGCCGGCGCGGCTCAGCACCGCTCGGGGGTCACCGCAGCGAGCCAGGTGGAGAAAGCACGGGGGCACGAGCTACGCCACGGCGGTGGAGCCGCCCGGTTCGCCACGGGACCAGAGCGCGCGCAGGCGCTGGTCGGCGTTCAGGAAAGCCCGGCGCAGCGCCCCGCGCACGGCCTCGGGCTCGCAGGACGCGGGGCCCAGCTCCTCCAGCACGTGGCCAGGCAGGCAGCGGGCGCCGAAGCGGGCGGCTCGCACCCTGCGGTTGCCGTGGGCGTGGCCGTGGAGGACCGCTAAAAAAGCCCAGCCCGCGGGTAGCCCGGGTAAAGCGAGCCAAGCGCAGTGCGCGCCAGCCCTGCGCCGCGCTCGCTCCGAAGTGCAGGCCCCAAGAGGCCACGCCACCCCGGTGTGGCCTCTGGGCGCATCGCTGGCCAGAGGACACACTCCAGCAGCCGGCCCAGGGCCCCCATCCTCCCGCCCGCGGATCCAGAAGGCTCCACTCTCTCCACCTGCCTCCCGCACCCCGCTAATCCCCGCGCTCTGAAAGTGTAAACCAACTAAATCTCCTCCCTTTCCTTGACCCGCACTCAACTCAGGTCACTCTTGGGGCCCTCTGTCCTACACCTTCCAAGCGGAGTTTGGGATCTGGGTTAGGAAAAAGTGGTCCTAGCGGCCAACTGTTACATATCACTTACCACCTGACGCAGTTACACATCACTAAAGCACAGAAGGGGGGGAAAATTCGCAGAGAAAGAATCGATCTTACAGAGAAATGAGCTCTAGAAACCGTGTTCTCAACACAACTCCCTGGCTTCAGTTCCCAGCCAGGCTCAACCCAAGCCCCGCCCACTTTAGTGGTCCAGCCCCCAGATTCAAAACTTATCAACACCACACTCTTCCGATTCCTCCCACTGGGCCCGGCCCCCAGGCTCGCACCGCTTGTCTTCCAGGTGCCGCCCAACCATTGGGGTGCACTTGTCCAGACCCTTGCAAGTTCTCAGTCCTGGCGTCGTCTCTAACTCTTCCTCTTAATCCCAGCCTAGCCCGAAACGCTGGCTGCTGGGCCCTGAAAACCAGGTTAGGTCTCCTTCTGGGCCGCGCCCCTCCGCTGCCGGGTCTTCCCGATTCCCTCTCGGCCACGCCTCTCGCCCCGCCCCTTCCAAGCCTGCGCAAATCCCACCTAGGCGCCAGCCCCACCGCGTCAGAGCTCCTCCCCTCGCCTCTAAAGTTCCTTAGTGCTTTTCCTCGCCCCTTTCCCGCTCCCTCCGAGAATCCAGTGTCGGATCTTACCTCCGACAGAGCACTAGATTCTTTCTAGACCCTCCTCAATGTCACCCCTGACACCCCACCTGGCCCCAGCCTCTCCGCCTGGACACCTTCACCTTTCTCTTTCCAGCCCCTCATCTTGCCCAGGCTCTGCCCCTCCTCTAACGGCTGAGGCCCCTTCTTTCTAGACCGCACCCTTTAGGTGCTTTTCCAGTCCATCCTTCCCTGCGGTGGGCCCTGCTACCTGAGCGCCTTTAGTCAAGAGACCACGCCCCAGGGAGGGGGCGGGCCCGCGTTTGCCCGCCCCTCCCCGCCCCCTTGGTCGCCTGGCCGCGCCCCCGGCCCCCGCGCTGCAGTGCCCGCTCCACCGAGGCCCCGCCCGCCCGCGCCGAGCCGAGCGGAGCCGAGCAGAGGGCGGCGGCGGCTGCTGGAGCAGCCCGGGAGGAGGAGGCGGCGGCGAGGATGGCAGCGGCGTCGTGGGCGCGACGAGGATGAGCAGCCGCGGCCCCGGGCCCAGGGCGGCGCGGCCGGAGCGGGCGGGGGTCCCGATGCAGGCCCGAGGGGGGCCATGGGGCAGGTCCTGCCGGTCTTCGCCCACTGCAGTGAGTAGCTGGAGGCTCGGGCCCGGCCCGGCCCGGAGGCCGGAGGAGGGTCCGGCTGGTTTCCCCCGTGCGCCTTGCCGCAAGAGAGCCGGGATGAGGGAAGGAGGCGCAGGAGACAAAGGAAGCTGTCCCCTCCCCCCCGCCCGCGGTCTGGCGGCCCCGGGGGCATCCTGACCCGGAGGACCCGGCTGAACCCGGCGGAGGAGGGGGCCTCTGAGCTGGCTGGCCAGGGGCGCGCTGGGCCCTCGGAGGTGTCGCCCCGCCCAGCCTGGGGCGGGGGGGGGGGTGAGGTGGCTCGAGGGGAGCTGTCCCCGGGCCCTGGTGCTGGCCACAGCTGCCCGGGCGGAGGCAGCATGGAGGGGCAAAGCCAGGCTAGAGGAGAGGGGTCTGCCTCCCTCGCCCGTCCTTGGGCCCAACCTCGTCTCCTGGCCAAGAGGCAGCCTTCACCTCGCCCAGCTGTTGGAGCCCCTGTCCCCGGAAAGCAGCCACCTCTGGGTGGGTGCCGGACTCCAGCGCTTTAGCGGGCGTTTGCACTGATTACCTTACCCCGGGGAAGGACCACCCCACTCCAGGCCTCTGATTCCCCAGGGGGCGGAAATGGGGTCTGGTTCCCGTTTCCAGATGGCGCGGAGCATCTCCTGTGTGCAGAGCTCGAGCCAGCTCCCAGGGACTGCATCCCCGGCTGAAAATGCCCGCTTGGCTCTTTGGACCTCTGAGCCCTGGTCTCTGGCAGACCGTGTTTACATCCTCTGTCCCACCCGGGGCGGGTCTGTCAGCTGGGGATGGCGGCCGGCTCAGATGTGGCCATTTCCATGTGTGGAGTGTCCAGATACCCAAGTCCCAAGCATCTGTAATGTAGTATCATCCCTACATTCTGAGATGTCCTCCTCACCTCAGATTATAAAGACAATGTCCTGTATGTTTTTTGTTGGTTTTTTTTTTTTTTTTTGGTACTGGGGATCAAACTCGGGACCTTGCGCTTTGAGGCAGGCGGAGGAACCACTGAGCTAAATCCCACTCCTCACCCTGTATTTTTTAGCCTTACCCCGTCACACCTTCGTGGGTCCCGTTCCTCAGGATGCCAAGCCTAGTTCTTCTCTCAGGGACATTGCTCTGGCTGTAGTTAGCAGCACGTGCGCCTGTCCTCCATTGTGCCATAAAAGGAGAGCATTGGGATTTAAAGGAATGTAGTACAGTAGAGAAGTGAGGAGACATTATAAGTTTTGCCCTTTCAAAACTTTCCCATTATGAGGCTAGCACTTGCTCTTTCTTTATAATTATCGTCCCACTTGAGAAGTTAATCTTCCTTGCAGTATTGAGATTGGCTGGTTGCTAACAAATAATTGTACATCATTAAGAGTGCTCAGTGGGAGGGTTACATTTGGGAAAATAGTATTGTCAAGAAATCCCTGACTTTGCTTTCTAAAGCATCAGCATTTTTATTTTATTTTTTAAAATTTTATTGTATTGGTGCATTTTAGGTGTACATTATAATGACATTCATCATTGGAAATTTGCACCTTTACATAATCTCTCTTGGTTCTTATTTTCCCACTTCCCCTGCCCTCCCTTTACCCGCTCCATCCCTCCCTATTTACAAACACTTTGTTTCCATTTTTTCATTTTCTCATATTGATTCCCTTCCATTCTTTCCTTTCCCTTACCCCTCCCACTTCCCCTTCCACTTTGCCCCTTTTCTTCCTATTTCACATTATCTATTATACCTTTTAGTCCTTATTTACACTTTCAGTTTCTCACACTAGAGAAACTATTCAGTATTTACACATGTATGTCCTATTTCGCTTAAGAGTATCACCTCAATATGCATCCACTTCGCTATAAATGTCTCTAATTTCTCACTTTTTATGGCTGAGTATACTCCATTTTATTTTAAAAACCACATTTTCTTTATCTGGTCTCCAGTTCATGGGCACTTGGGCTGCTTCCAAGTTTTAGCTATTACAAACTGTGCTGCTATAAACATGGGTGCACATATATCAGTGTGGTATGATTCTTTTAATTCTTTGGGGAAAATACCCAGCAGGGGAATAGCTGGCTCAAATGGAACCTCTAGTCCTAGTTCTTTGAGGTATCTTCATACTGATTTCCACAGTGGTTGCACCAGTCTATACTCCCACCAGCAGTGGACCAGGGTTCTTCTTTCCCCATAACCTCACCAGCATTTATTATTGGTTGACTTCATGATAGCAGCCATTCTTTCTGGACTGAGGTGGAATCTCAGCATTGTTTTCATTTGCCTCTCTCTAATGACCAGTGATGTTGAACATTTTTTCATATGTTTCTTTGCTATTTCTACTTCTTTGTCTGAGAAATGTCTGTTCATTTCAGATGCCCATTTTTGGGTTGGGTCTTTAAATTTCAGAGGTCTGATCTTTTTAAGTTCTTTATAGATTCGAGATAGTAGACCTTTGTCTGAGGAACAGTAGGTGAAGATTTTTTCCCACATTGTCTCTTCACACTGTTGGTGGTTTCTCTGGCTGTGCCGAAGCTTTTTAATAAGAAGAGATCCCACTTGTTGATTGTTTGTGCTAGTTCACGGGCAACTGAGGTTTTAGAACCAGCATTTTTATGACGGTGATGTCTGGATGGGCTTCATGAACTGGTTACGGTATTTTCCGGTTTTCAATCTCAGTTTCCCTGCCCTATAATATGCTGGTAGAAAATGTTACGATCACTTGTATTTAAGTCAGTGGGGACAGAACAGAGGACAGCGCCTGGGACACAGTGGACACATAAATACTTGAGGGGATCTTGGGCTTCGCAAAGCTCACAGTTCCATAAAAGGACAGTAGGGGTCGCACCAACCCGGTATCCGGAGCCCAAAGCCTTCTGGGCCTTTTTCATGACCCTAAGGAGAACTTTCTCTTTTGCACAAGAACACAGATGCTTCCTGAAAGGTCCTTCTGAACGCCGAAGTATGAATTTCTTTCTTTTTTTTTTTTTTTTTTTTTTTTTGGTACTGGGGATCGAACTCGGGTCCTTGCGCTTGCGCAGCAGGGAACGAAACCGCTGAGCTAAATCCCCGGCCCAAATTTCTTTTCTGTCTCTGTCTCTGTCTATCTGTCTCTCTCTCTGAACCGTAGGAAACTTTTATTAAAGGTAGGAAAAGAAACATGCTCTGCAGATAAAGTTTGGGACAAGTAAAAGTAGGAAATGAAGTACACATTACACTGTGAGGGTGGGCCACCATGCAAGAGTGAACACAGTGGGAAATTCTCCATGTGGACTGTCCTTTTGGATCACCCACTCCTCAGGCACACATCAGGTCTAGGCCATGCTCAGGAACACCAGTTGGATTTTGCAGGGATTTGGGAACTGTTCTGAGCATGTGTTCTTGGATCCTGTACCAGCTGTTTTCCAGGTCTGTTTTAGCCACATCCTACCTTCCTATATCAGCATCATTATGTAGTTCAGGCTATGCTTGAACTCAGAAAGATAGCCCAAGCAGACCTGGAATATGATTCTCTTGATTAAACCTCAAAATTACCAGGATTATAGGCTTGAGCCACCATGCCTAGGCAAGAGAATTTGGTTCCTTTGATTTTATCATTAACTTTATTTGGGACAGCATCTCCCTGTGCAGTTTCAGCTGGGCTTGTATGATCTATTAAAAATTGCAAGCAATCATCCTATTTGAGGATTCTGCCTGTTGAGATTACAGGCATCCACAACCATGCCCGCTGCTTAATATGACATTTACTTTTATTTACTTTTTTCAATTAGGACATTAAATATACATGATGATAGCATTCAAGTTGGAAAATTTGGACTTGTACATGATGTATCTTTCTGCTTTTTTTCACCATTTACCAGACCTCTGGTCAATTGGTGATTTGCTTCTCTGAAACTGAGGTTTCACTTTGGAAAAAGGAATTCCTGCCTCTTTAACACCTGACCAAGTCCCTGAACGCTGCTTCCCAGAATGCCAGGCACTATGTAAATAGCCACCATCCAGAGTGAGCATGATTCATAACATAGGACAAGGCAAAGAGAACGTTAAAATGTCGTTTGTGGTGATGACTGCATAAAAGGAAATTATAGGTATGAAAAGGAACTCTCTCCCATTTTCACAAGGTGTATCACCATACTGGAAAAAGTTAGGTCCTTTGGGCCTTTATATGGGTGCGTGAGAAGATGGCCTCCTGCCCGGATGATCCTCAGTGGTCTGGGGTGCAGGCTTCAAACCTGTAGCTGTCTGGCGACAGAGTGGTTCAATTCCACCTTCCGGGCGATAGATACTTGCTTTTTTTCCCGAACCTGCCGACCACATTGGAGGGTGTCAGCTCTGCCAAGATGCACTCCCACACGCACACCTGGAGAGGTTCCTGAGCCTTCCACATTCCCATTGACACTCTTGACAGGAGGGCCTCAGACTGTGGTTGCTTTCTTCTCAGCAATAGCTAGGATGACTGGAAGACAAAGGACATTTCTTCTACACGACTGCAGGATATTCAGGTGGTTTTCTCCCCTTCACTGACTTTTCAGTCAGTGGAGGTCCAGCAAAGGGTGTGGGGTGCTTTGGAGATTGAATTCAAGGCCTGGGAATGGAGCTAGATCTCCAGCTTTTTTAAACTTTTGAGGCCGATTGTCACTATGTCACCAGATTGCCTGGACTGGGCTGGAACTTGAGATCCACTTGTCTCAGCCTCCCAGAGTGGTGGGCTAACAAGCAGTCATTGGATGCTGGGCCCTAAATGCCTCGCGAATCCCTCTCCTTCCTGTCCTGTGCCCCTTGGTCTTGTTCTGGGCCTGTTCTCTAGCCTTGCTGTAGTCCCAGTCACATTCAACCTGATGGTTAGAGGAGCCATCCCAAGATGAAATATCTGCCTAACCCACCTGTGCTCAGAATCTGGATGGCTCCCTAGGACCCTCAAGAGAAAGTCTAAATTGTTCCACCTGGAAATTAATGGCCTGCAGAAACTGGTCCCTGCTAACCTCTCTCCCCACAC